CCCTGTGCTCTGTCCCTCGCCCCCCTTGGTTAGGCTTTGAGTGAAGAATATTTGCCCCCCCCCACCCCCCTCGTTTCCCATTGCTCCCCGTGGACTCGTGGGAAAGCAGCTTCTAGGCCAGCCCCAGATGTGAAGTGGAGCAAAGCGAAGATTCTAGTCGTAGGTGGCTCTTGTAGGATACCAAGGCCCGTGAGTTAATGTGCTTCCCATTTCTGGGGGAACCTGAGAGGAACCTGCTGCTGTCAAAATAATCATCTTGCAGGCTGCCCACAGCAGTGCCCCCAAAGGGATCGACATCAGGATCTAGACTAACTCTGGATGCACCCAGCGTAGCTGACTTTAATTTTAATTTTGCATGTTTTAAAAAAAAACACACAAAATCAAATTTGTGGGTGACTGTGGTCTTGGCTGCCTAAGATCAACAAACAAAGCAACAGAATTCTTTCCATTGGGTTTTTAATGAAGAATGAGAATACGAAAATAGCTCTTCGTATCATACCTATCAGTATGTGGAGTCAGAAAATCATTCCCAAAACTGGTGCTTTGGGGAGCACGGGTGCACAGTGCACTTGGGGGTTGAGCTGTGCACCTTATTTTCGGAATAGAATGCTGTGTTATTTGATTATAAAAATGAAATATCCTGGGAATAGTTAATTTTGAAACAAGGAAACAAAACTACCACCATGTCGTGTAATTAAGGTGGATGTGTAGGCTTAATAGACAGTGCGAAATTTGATTCTGAAGTCCTGAGGATTTCAGGAAAAAGTTGGTGTAGAGATACTTCCTTCTGTCTCTTTTCCTCTTAAAATAGTACCTATTAAAGACAGTGGTTCAAGAGGAAGTTGACTCCTACAGATACTCAAGAAAGACCAGTTGCGTGCGCAATATCGGTTGTCAGTAATCCCATAGTAAAATTACTTCAAGTTCTGGCATAAATTCTGGAAATAGAGAATGAGTGTCTATTCTGTCTGTATGCCAGTCTCCCCTCGTAGTAGATGCAGCCACTTTAATAGTGCCAGCAGTCTGGAATTTTTTCCCAGTGCCCATTCTGACATTGATGATGATGATAAGGTGGTGGAAAGGGTGGAGCGACGGTCCAAACATAAAGGAAAGAAGGGGTTGTGGACTAAGGGAAAGCCACGCCATAAAAAACTGGTACTGTCTAAAAAATTTGTTAAAGATCTGGGTCCGGCAGGTGCTGTTGAAGCTGCTTGTGCTGCAGCTGCAGTAGTCGAGCCTGCTGCTCCGGAGCAAGATGGAAAGAGCTTCTTTATCGAGAGCAATACAGTAAAACAGGTTCTGTTGCCTGGTACGAGAGCAAAGACTTCAATTGTGTGGAATTTTTTCCGCGTTGATCCCCAGTATACTTGTCGTGCTATCTGCAGCATATGTAAAAAAAGCGTCAGCCGTGGCAAGCCAGGCACCCACCTTGGCACATCAACACTTCAACGGCATCTCCAAGCAAAGCATTCTGTGTACTGGACTGTGGCTAATAAACTAAATGCTGCTGGTGAAAACAGCATAGGGGAGGAGGAATATGCCTTTAATGTGCCTTTATCACCTGTCTGCCCAGATAGCAGATTTAGCAGTTTCAGCAGCAATGAGAATTTGGAATATATTCCTAATGTTCAGTGTGACAGTGACGGGGCCGAAGAGGCACTAGGCCAGTTTTCTACAAAAAAAAGAAGAAAGAAAGGGCTGCAGATTAATGAGTTACACCCAGGAAAACCAGAGCATTCCAAAAAAATTGCCAAAGATGTGGGTCCCACAGGTGCAATGACTACAGCCGGTGCAGCCGCAGCAATAGAGAGAGAGAATTTTCTCATTGAAAGCAATATGGCCAAACGTGTCCTGATGCCAGGAACCAGGACCAAGACATCAGCAGTTTGGAACTTCTTCTACATTGATCCTCAGAATACCTGCAAGGCTGTTTGTAATGTCTGTAAAAAGAGTGTCAGTCGAGGCCGGCCAGGCACTCACTTAGGCACCTCCACGCTGCAAAGGCATCTGCAGGCCATGCATCATCTACACTGGGCCATGGCCAACAAATCAAATGGCACTACTGGTACCGGTTTAGATGAAGAAGCAGTAGAGGATTTTTCTATTGGTCCCAGGGAGATGGACTTGTCACTTCTCTGTCCCAGAAGTATTTCAAGTTATTTCTTGTCTCGGAGGGATAAACTTCCAGCCAGTTACAGTTTAATACCTCAAGGCCTGGATATCCATACTCCAAATTTATTTCCTAAGCCAATGCTTGGTAAAAAAAAGGCCGTAAGTCCCAACTTCAGGACGCCGCAAGACTCTCAAACATCCACTGCTGAGAAGAAAATTGAATACCATGAAATACCAATTGCGCAACAGATAAACAGGGCTATTACAGAACTGATTATTGAGGATATGCAACCCTATTCATTTTTTTCTACCCTGGCTTTTCAGAGATTAATGCAGATAGTGGCACCAGGTTATCATCTGCCATCAAGAACTTACTTTTCCACAAAGGCTGTGCCCCGGTTATACAGTGTGGTGAGAGAAAAGGTTTTCATGTCTCTTAAGAAAGCTGAGTGCAAAAAAGTTCACTTAACCATTAATATGTGGACCCATGAACCAAGCACAGACTATCTGGCAGTGATAGCCCATTGGGTGTCTTTTGAAATGCTGCTGTCTTCCTCTCACAGTGCCAGCAGAACTCCCAGTTGCAGGAAGCAGGCAGCTCTTTGTGTAACTGGCTTTACTAAAGATTATGCAGCAGACAGTATTTTACAAGAACTAAATTACCAAATTGGTGTGTGGCTTTCCCCCAATTCCCTCACCCCTGGCTTCATAGTTTCAGATAACGCTGCCAGTGTTGTGCGTGCAGTGAGAGATGGAGACTTGACCCAAGTGCCATGCTTTATATTTTGTTTAAGTTCAGTAATTCAGGACTTCCTCTGTGAGCACAAAAGCACAGGGAGCATGTTAGCAACTGCTCGAGAAATTTGCAAGCATTTTAATCATTCTTTTAAGGCCCGTCAAATTTTGCAGGAGTTCCAGCATGCAAACCATCTTCCACAGCACAACTTGAAGAAGGAGGTAGCCACCCAGTGGACCTCCACCTTTTATATGCTGAAGCGACTTTTAGAACAGCAGAAAGCAGTGCATGACTATTGCATGCAACATCATGCGGGAAGGGTGGGTGGAGTCATCCTCACCTCATTTCAATGGTGTCTGATGGCTCACCTGTGTGACATCCTTGAGCCATTTGAAGAAGCCACTCAGGAAGTGAGCATGTGCACTGCAGGGCTTAGTCAGGTGCTGCCATTAGTTCACCGCCTGCTCCTGACTCTGCAGAACATGCGAAAAGACTTTCAGATTAAAGGTGCCACTGTAGCTCTAGGGTTGGTGGATGACTTGTGTGTAAGGCTCGAAACTGACACCCAACTGAGTGCTGTGCTCAGATCTGAGCATTATATCTTGGCCACGTTATTAGATCCCTGCTTTAAAGACAACTTAGAAGAATACCTTCCTCAAGGTACTGACTTGATAAACTATAAGCAGATCCTTATTGAAACAGTATGTGAACATATGTGCAATTCAGTGGAGGGTTGTTCGTTGGAAGCTACAGAAATATCAGGCCATTCATCACTTGTAGAAACCGATCCTTTTGCTCTTTGCTTTAAGGAAGATTACTCTGGTTCAGGTCTTGTCAGTGGCTCCTCTTCGAGTGTTGCATCTTTGATTGGCAAGAAGAGGCTGTTGTGCCCCTCAGCTGCAGTGGTGGTAGAAGAGTACTTTCAAGACAAGTCTCCGGGGATAGCCATTAAAGATGACCCCTTGATTTATTGGCAGGGGAAACTGAGAAAGTGGCCTGCATTAACCCAAGTAGCTATTCAATATCTCAGCTGCCCACCCTGTAGTCTACATTCTGGATGTGTCTTCAGCACAGCCAGACACCTCATTTCCGAACACTGTGCTAGTCCAGGTTTTGACAACATTGAACAGTTAATGTTCCTTAAAATGAACTTAAAAAGTATTAATTATGACTATTCTACTCTGGCCTTGGGCTTTGATACAGAGGATGAGATCACTCAGAGTAGCGAAGATGAGATGTATTAGCCAGAGCTGATAGTTTCCGTTTGTTCTATGCTTTGGACCACTTGAAGTGCTGGGACTTGTGCTGCTATATACTGTTCTTGTACAGTTATTATCTAGCACTTGTGCTTTCCATCTTCAGAGCACTAGATCCTATATGATATCCTCCAAATGCCCCGGAGAGGTGTGTAAATAAGCATTATGTTCATTTTGCAGACCAGAAAACTGACTCCTGACTTAGTGAGAAAGGTAGGATGAAAATTGGGAGCTCCTGATTTTGTGTTCAAATTGTCCTAATAAACACTGCATAGGATTTTTATATAAACATTAATGACCCCCCCCCCCCCCACACAGACACAAAACCAGGTCAACAATAAAGAGAGACGCAAATAGGTTTCATGCTTTAAAGTCAAAGAGTACTAGATAGGTGTCTGTAGTTGATAAGCATTGTGCTGGCAGTAGTAACTGGATAGCGTTCCCTTCTGACATTTATTGCGGTATAAAAATGTTTCCCCTCTGAACTTCTCTCCCCCATAAATCCAGCCTATTATTGAAAGGTCTTAGAGCAATACTGGCTGGCAAACTGAAAAAATGGATGAGTTAATAGCATAGTTTGTCAGTGTGAAGGAGGACAGGGCTCTAAATTGGATTGGGCAAATAGTCACTGTACTCTTGTGAGGGTGAAATTTATGATCCCAACTATATATTTCTTCTCTCTGATCTCTAATTATTATTTCCTATAACTAAGCTCTGTACAAAATGAAATGGCAATGTGAACTGCAGCTCAATCTCAACATGAACACCGGTGCAATTCTTGGGATTTGATTGACTTTGACGCTTTTTAATTACTGATGCAAGCTTGCTGAGTGCACCAGAGTTACTCGTTTATTTTAAGCTTCAAGAATTTATCTCACTTGATTTTCTGTAGTTTTTTGTATTGCTGTTCTAAAAAGTTGTTTCCATTTAAAAAAAAAAAGGCTACATTTTGTTTTAATTTAATTTGTAGTGCTTAGAGAATACAGAGAGGCCTGAGTTTCTTGGGGTTTGTTTGTTTTTTAAATCTCTTGGGCAGTATAATTTCAGTGAGTAATTCAAACCCTGGACTGTGTGCAGAATATTTAGAAAAGAGATGCCTCTTTGGACCACCAGATCCTTCGTGCACCTCAAACTTTATCAAACAGACTGTTAGGCATTGTCCATTACTTGCCAAGAGATAAGTTTTGGTTTATGTGGAGGAATTTCACACTTTGAAATCTCATTGAATTCTGTTAGGGTATTTGTGAAAGTGAATTTGGCAAAACTTCCCTATGTATGTTAACTGCCATTGAGGGAACAATAGTGTAGTTAGATACAGGTAGACAGAAGTTACCTGGGATACAAATTCCAGCTTTAAAGGTGACAACATTCAAAAGTGAGTCGTCATTTAGATGCTAAAGGAAGGAGAGAGAATGATTCTTACCTTTTTGAAAATTTCCCCTTGTGAGGAGTTTAAAACTGGTAACTAATATAAGAACCAAATTTTTCCTCTCATTTCAGATTTAGGGAAACTCCCTCCTTCCCCCTCCCAAAAAAACCCGGAAAAATTCACTAGTGCGTGTGTGAGTAAAAGGTCCAATCTTTTTATTATTAATTTGTCTGGAGTATGTCATTCAATTTCTTCTAAGGTAGAATTGGAAGAGAATTAGTTAGCACAGAAATGTTTCAGTGCTCTTAATGTATGCAATGTTGTTGAAATCATGTCAATGTCATGATATTAGAAAGACAAAGTGGATGAGGTGATATCTTTTACTGGACCAAATTTTCTTGCCAACAGAAAGAAGCTGGTCCAATATAAGACGTTACCTCATGCACCTTGTCTCTATCAGCACTTCAATGACATGAGAATTGGAATCTCTAAATTTAGATCAAATGGTCAGAAATACAGGGTTTATGGCATTCAGTAAAAAGGAGCAAACTGAAAATCTGATTTCACAGTGAAATTAAACTATGTTAATTGGAATCACTTTCAGGTTACTAATGGTGTCAAAGTGATTGGCTGCTAAGAATTGGACCCTCGCCATACTTTCAGGCCTTTGCCATCTCACAGCAATGGATAACAGTGGATATATGTATCAGGGAACAGTATGTGATGACAAACCAGAAGTATTTGAAAACCTATACAATAAATGAAAATTGGATTTAAAAAAAATCCAGATTCTGTCTCATGCAGCATTGCCTCTTCAAAACTGAGCATTTCCCTGCTTCCAATTTTGCTGTAGTCTAGAACTGCTAATTTTTTGTACTTGATCACAGCTTTAAATATCAAGTCTAAGCAATAAGTTGTCAGACTATGCATACTGTGCATGCTTTTGTGTATAAATATGGCTATACTGTATGCATGTACATACATGCATACATTTATGTGCCAGATCCAAACTTATCCATGCTATAAAGCATTGGCCTGAAAGTGTATTTATGTGACACTTTTATAACACCTCAGTTTTTGCCATTACCCCCATTTTAACACAATTTGTGGTGCATTTTAAAGTGACAGCCCAAATATATCATTTTTATTACTACATTTGCATATATTGGGGTGTGTGTGTATAAACACACATTTGTGTATAAATACATGTGTATGTTTATACATACAAGTATGTTTTTGCTATACAGGTAATAAAGATGGGGGAAGGTTTTTGTGTTTTCTTAATAGGTGAAGAATTCTTGAAGACCAGAAATTGGAACTTATTGAGTTTTAAATAAAAAAAAAAAAATTTTTTTTAAATTGTCCGGCTGTGGAAGATGGATCTTCATTTTTGCAGCCACTTTGACTTACAAGTTCATCTTTAAATGAACTGTTTTTTGAAGAGCTAACTAACCCTGGCTGTCCTCCAGTCTGACAGAGAGTACTCAAATGGACTTGCTTCCTGCAGTAGTTGTAAGATGTTTAAAAGCACAGCCTGTGTCTGAATTGTGGATGAGAGATTTCCTTGGCAATGTGAGGAGAAAATTCTTTCTCTCCCTGTATTATTAATTCACGGATTAAGTGTTGGTTCGGCCTACAGGAGAAATTAATTGGAAGTCTTTGAAGACCAACGTTCTTGCCGAGGCTATCCAGGTATGTTAATTTGTAGATATCTAAAATTCCCCCTGATAAAGAATAGGGATGAGAAAGGAGAGCTCATAACTAAAGCTGTACTTTTTAAAGACTATGATAACAATAGTTAATCATCCATGGGTATTTCCTAGGTATAATTCATTCCTTCAGAGGTAGGCCCCCAATCCTGCACTTCACTCTGTTTGGAGCACAATTTATTCTGTGCTAATAAAACTCTTTAATGTCATAGAACACTAGAACTGGAAGGGACCTCGAGATGTCATTGAATCCAGTCATCTGCCCTCACGGCAGGACCCAGTACTATCTAAACCAGTGGTTCCCAAACTTTTTGGCATCACACTCCTCTTTTTGTTTTTTAAGAAACCCTCTCACACACCCCAGCTCCCCCCCCTCCAAAAAATAGCAGCAAAACTTGTTGGGGGGAGGGAGGGAGGAAATGACATGGGGCTGAAAAACAGTTGCAGCCCCTTTAATTTCTGGGATCATTGTAAAAAAAGGTGTCAGTACTCCAGAGGAAAAGTTGTTGACCAAAAAAAAAGTTGCCCTTTTAAAAAGGCCATTTTGAAGTCTGCCCAAGATGCTCCATCTCCAGCCAGCTCGAGTTGCATGTGTTCCGATGGACAGAAAGTACCACACATTTCACATGGTATTTTCTGAATTTTTTTACCGGACGGACTGGGCTCTTTCTTGGGGGCTGATTGATGGGGGGGGGGAAGGGGGCTGGGTCACCTCGCACCCCCCCGGAATTTCTTCATGCCCCCCAGTTTGGGAACCTATGGTCTAGGCCATCCCTGATAGATGTCAGTTGGGATACAGGAATTTGTTTAAATCACAGACAATACCCATTATCATTTGAAGGTATCTCAGAAGTGGTAAACTGGTCAGTTTCAAGGCACTCAAGTTAACACTGTCCCTTCAAACATATTAAATGGCTTTGGTAAAAAAAAGAAGGAAAGTTAATTGTCATTTGATTATCTGATTTATTTTTTTTATTCTCCTAAACCCACCTTTTCCAAGGTTACTTTTTAAAGAAGATTTCACTGGTCAAGTCTGAAAAAGAAGAAAGAGTGAAGCCCATTTTCATTAAGAGAGGAAGACGTCTATATGAGCAATATCCCTGATAACTTGAGCTTGTTCTAACAATCTGTCCAGCATGTCTAAACAAGGAGATGATTGCTACTTCTATTTCTATTCCACGTGTACCAAGGTGTGTTTAAAAAGAGAAACAGATGAATACAACTACTCGAATAATGTACTGCATATATTATAGATTTGAAAGTAGAATCTATCCTGAAGTGTTGTAGCTGGTGTCATATACCATTTACCTGGTTTGTTTTGTTACATCTAGCCATCTCTTATAGAAAGGAATAAATTTCAAGATAGACTATTTATGCTCGATTATCTGTGTGGAGAGAGAAATAACTTTTATCCCTACTCCTGTTTTTATCAGGCAGTAATACTGATTAAAACTTTTCAAATCTCTGGTTGCTAAGCTGTACAAATAACCTGTGATGTCTGTATTAACTCCTTCCAGAGATAGGTAAATCAAGACACAGAATTAAAGCTACTTGCCCAGTCTATAAAGGGAGTCAATGCCAGTGATAGATTAGAACTCAAGAGCACCTGACTCCTGAAGTCAACTAAATCATTCTAGGGACGTTAAATCTCAGATAATCAGCTAATCAAGAAATTCATGGGATTTCCATCGACTATTCGATTAGTTGATAAGGAGGGGCTTGCTATCCCGCTGCACCTCTGCCTATGAAATGTACAAGGGCTTCAGCGGGTCGAAGCAATCCCTGCTGGCATGGGGTCCCAACTGTTGTGCCTCTCCCTTTGAAATGTACAAGACTCACCTGCGGCTCTTGTACATTTCAAAGAAAGAGGCCCAGGGAACCAGCGCCTCTCCCTTTGAAATGTACAAGAGACCAAGGCTCTTGTACATTTCAAAGGGAGAGGCGCTGCAGCCTGGACCCGGCATAAGTGGGGACTGCTTTGGTCGCGCTCACGCTGTTTCCCTTGTTGCGCATCTGCCTCCCCTCCTCCTCGCCTAGGCTTATCAGGTAGTCAACTAGTCGCTTACCTCCCTAAATCGTTCTGCTTCTCTCCAGAGGTAATTATTGCTCCTTGTGGCCCAATAAACCAGCTATGGAAAAATCCGTATCATATTGTGTCTACTGTGTATGCTATTTCATTGTTGGATAAATAAGATCCAGAAGTAACAGATATGACTAAGGCCAATGAACAGATGCAGAAACATTTGTGCCCCATTTATGTGACAGCAGGAAAATGTCAGTTTTTGCAGTGGCATACAGTTTTTCAGGAGCTACAGCCATCATGCTTTACCCCCACAGGTTGATTGATTGGTCTTTGCATTTCTTAATGTGACAAATGTTTCTCAATTGAAAATTAGCGCTAATATAGCTCTTAAGGATGATACAGTAGACAGAATTCTATCGAGTAAATGCAACAGTAAGATGGTTGAGATTGGCTGTAAGGCAATAGGATAAAAATGTTGATCTTTTCTTAGGTGTTTTTTTGTATCCCATCCACAGAGTGTCTTGACTTTTTTCATCATGCCCACCTCTAAATTGTTTGTCTGATACTAAGATAGTGGTTTAAAATAATGGCAGGAAGGTCCTTCAAATATTTTTCCATAGAATTGTTTTTGCCTTCTCCCTGAGAATGCAATTCTCATCCTTTGCTCCATTTCTTCTTCTTGAGTCACCTGCTTTCCATTCCCCGTACACTAGGATCAGTTCAGTCACTGAGCTTCTTTCCTTCAATTCAGAAAGTTCCACTTTTATAGCTGTCCTTTGTACCAGGCCTTTTCAGGTTGCAGCATTTTTATTTATTTATTTTTTTTGTCCCATTGGTCTAGGGGGACGCTTGTCCATTCCGTCACTGTGAAGCTGCACTGGGAAACGAGACTGTCTGCACACTGTGGCAGGAAGGGCGCTGTTTCAGGAGTATCTGCAGGTTTAGGCACATGGAGATTGATGTAAGTGTTCATTTTGCAAGTACGTGTTCGGATAGTGCTTTTATCTGGTGCTCGGTGAACTGGTTACAATCAAGCTTGTACTACTGAGATTCACTGTTTTGGAGTCTTGTCACATATGCTTGTGCTGAACATGTAAACACCAAGGAAACAAAAAATTATTTTAGAATCATACAAGTGGATCTGATTGGAGGCTGTTCAGTGTAAGCAGGTTACTTTGGCACTGCCTAATTCATTTTGAATTGGAACAGTAATATGCAGTTGCAGGCAAAGATCGTAATGGGTTCACTTTTATATGTCCGTTTCACCTGCGCTAAGCAACACTGGCCTCCACTGCTCAGAGTAAAGGGATGAATTTAAGAAAATTAAAGATTGTTAGAAAAACAGCTCCTTTCTATGATATCTACACCAGGGATGTGAAAGGTTAACTGGTAAGCATCACCATTAATGGGTGATGCTTTACCAGTTCCAGTTCACTGGTGGGGGCTGGAGCAGCTCCCTGCCTGCTGTGGACAGGGGCTGTTCTAGGCTGGAGAAGCCCCTGTCCATGGCAGGCCCAAGTGCCCCGCAGGCAGGGACTGCATCAGCCCCTGTCGGCAGTGGGGGGCCAGGGGAGGAAGGGCAGTGCTTCTGCCCAGCTGGACTGGAGTGCTACCCTTTAATTGGTTAACTGGTTAAACCATACATTTAACCAGTTAACCAATTAAATAAGATTTTAAACTGGAAGGGTCTCTTCAGTGGAAGTGACAGTTGTCACATTGGTTGCATTACTTAATTGTGGGGACCCTAGCACTGGGCAATAATCCTGCACTGGCCTTAGGGAGATGAACTAGATGTGACTCAGTCTTTTCCATCTCTGACTTTCTACATGGTTTTGTTGGGTGCTCTAATAGACTAGAAGGTGGAGAAAGGAAAGAGGAATGTAGTAACTGACAGATGCATAATGGCCATTGACATAGTTTTTGTAAAGATTGTCTATATGCCCAGAGCACTAGATTGGATTTCTATTTCCATGTATCAGTCATAGGTGATGTCTTGATAGTGTATTGAAATATTATTGTGACACGTTTGATCTGTGAAATGAAGTCACAATGTTGCATTGCCATTGTTCTATGAGAGTTCTATGCCACTTGGAGGCCGTCTGATAACTGTGTAGCTTTTTAGCTTTTCCAAGGTGACTTTAATGTGGGTCTTTGTTTTGTCTCTCTGAAGAAAAAACGCAGCGAGATCCCTTGCTACTGGGAGAACCAGCCAGTGGGCTGTCAGAAATTAAATTGTGCTTTCCATCACAACAAGGGACGCTACGTTGAGGGACTCTTCCTACCTCCAAGCAAAAGTGAGTTGTTTCATTTTTTCTCCTTTGGCAATTCTTCCCAGATCCCTGAAGCCTTGTAGAGCCCATCTCTGGACTTGTACTTGCAAAAATATTTCCGATACTCCTGTTACTGGTAGCTGAAAAACAAAAGCCACTATCAGTTATTCGTTATAGGAATCAAAATCAGTGGTGATTTCAAATGAAACACCAGTGTAATCCGAAATGCCAAAAATATGTATTTAAAAATCATTTCTGAAACTGCTACATCACATATTACATTATTTGCTTCATTAACAAGAAAATACGGGCTCTTGAGGTTGATATTGGTGGAGCTTGGTCCTGCCTTGAGGGCGGGGGGCTGGACTCGATGACCTCTTGAGGTCCCTTCCAGTCCTATTATTCTATGATTCTATGATATTAAAACTTGTTGGCCCAAGAGACGAAATATGCTTCACCTTGGTCAGTTTTTCTTTGAGAGACAAGAAATCTTGACATTATCAAAACATGAGTAAATTTGTACCGCACCGATGCTGCTATTCAGGTAACAGGTGACTTGTACCAGCCATCTGCCGATCCCGAGCACAAGAAACAAGCCTCCAGATGTAGTCGAGACTGAAATGAATAGCTGGGGGGATTTCACCCAATATTTTTTATGCTCAGCTGCTTCTCTTTCTTTTATTGACCTTTTTCTTCAGTGGTAAACTATCCTCATCTCACTAAACCTTTCACTAGGTGCTATGAGGCCTAGCTTTGTGGGGCTATAAAAATAATAGCCAGACACTGATGCTTTCTCACCTAGTGTATCCATATTGAGCAGAGTCTCTTCTCTCGTCTGGAAGTTTATTGGATTGTGGTTTGGAAATGAGTGAAGCCCTGAATTCAAGGTTTTAAACAGACAAATTACATGTCTATTTAAACTACTACTACTACTGTTCTAGCTGTGCTGCCAAATATGACTGAGTCTGTAGAAGAGGAGGCAAAGGTGACCCAGATCTCGCTGCAGCAGAATAAACTGTCTGTCCAGTCCAATCCTTCCCCTCAGCTGCGGGGGGTGATGAAAGTGGAAAACTCTGAAAATGTTCCCAGCCCCACTCATCCTCCAGTCGTAATCAATGCTGCAGATGATGATGAAGATGATGATGGTGAGCAAATTTAATCTCTAAAGCATATGGTATCTCCTGAATTTAAGTCAATACATACACAGCACTGATGCATTTGCCGTGTGCCTAATAATCAACCTTCTGTTTACCTAGTCACTCCTGTGGTCGTTCTAGTCTATTGTTCTGCACTGAGCTATGGCCAGTACCTGCAATATTGGAGGAAAACTTTTCTAACCTCTTGTACAAGGAAATAGGAAGGCAATTCCTTCCTTAATCACCATCCCTGTATGGGCAATCCAGAATGTTGCCTTGTCTAGAGATTGAGTTAGGAACTGAGTCAGGAGACCTAGATCTTATTTCTGGCATGGCCATACTTGGGCAAGTCACTTAGAACAACTTTTTTTAAGTTTGAAGTCAGAGGTTAAAACCTTTGTCCATTTTGGCCTTAACCTCTCAATGCTTGCACTTTCTCAGAATTAAGAGAATACTCATCCTTTAATGAAAGGTGCTGTGTGAGTTAGGGATGTTAAATATTGGTTAATTGAATAGTCGATTAATCTCATGAATTCTTATCGATTAGTCGACAATTCTATAGTCCCAGGGGTGTGGCCAGCAGCCAGTGTGCTTCGGTCCCACTCCTGAGGAGCCCCCTACCACTCCGCACTGCTGCCTCTGTATCAGATTGATTGAATAGTCAGCGGCAGCAGTGTGGGGTGCCAAATGGGAGCTGGTCTGCAAGTGGAGCCAGTTTACAAACCAGCTCTCCTCGTGGACTGGCTGCCTGTCACCCTGCACTGCTGCCTTTGCTACAGAGGCAGCAGCAGAGGGTGGCAGCATCCCCTATTGGGGTGGAGAGGAGGATCTGAGCTCCTGGATCCCACGTGAGCTGGAACTGAGTTGGGCAGCCTGCCTGGCTCCTAATACACTTCAAATGCAGAGCTGCAGCAGGGGTAGGTCCTGGACCCAGTGCGAGCCAGGACTGAGCCGGGCTGCTGGCCAGCCTGCTAAAAAACGTACTGTCGGATGTGGAGGGGAATGCGTGTAGTCTATAGCATTAACGTAAAAGCTTTTGCTTATCGGTTAATCGACTACATAATTACATCCCTAGTGTAAGTGCATGAGCTGATGTGTGAAAGCACAAGATTTGCTCATTAATTATTTGTTGCATCTGAGTGTTTCAGTCATGAACTGTGACTCCATTGTGCCTGCTGCTGTATATAACTGGAACCAAAAGGTTCCTGGTTTCTCTGTCCCAAGGAACATACAGTCTTGTCCAGTTCCTTGTGCTAACTGTGCGTGAACTAACATTTATCCCTTTCAGATCAACTTTCTGAAGAAGGAGATGAAGCTAAAACACCTGTTCAGCAGCCAGCTACAGAAACCCATAACGGACTGCGGATCATTTCTACTCGGAAATCCAATGCTATTTCAAAACAAGGTATTTTAATGTTTATATTGCAGGAGCTCTTTAAGGTCACCGCAGGTTGGCTCAGGGACCCCATTGTGTTAGGTGTTGGAAAAATGTAACAAATGACTACCCCTGTGGTCTGGCTAGCAAAAACCTTAATTCTGGCTATTGGCTGAGCTCTTTAGTAAGGTGATACTTGGGTGTCAGCCACTGTTTTATAGTCACAAACAGAATAACCCAGTCAATGCTTAGCTCATTCTCTTTTCAAATGCTTTTGGTTTCTGTTGAGCAATTCCAGAAGGCATTTAAAAAGTAAATGATAATGTACGTTTTAAAGTTATCTTTTTTTAAATTCATCTTGGTGATCAATGCTTAAACCTCATTAGCTTAAGGAGCATATGGAGTGGTCCATGAGTTAAAATTGTAGGTCATCAGTCCACATCATCTTATGTATATTAGGTGATGTCACTGATTTTTTTCAGTGTAGTTATTCCTGGTTTACACCAGTGTAAGTCGGTGGAAAATCACTTTGTAAGTTTTTTAATTAGCATGTGGGGTAGCTTTTAGGTTCTTACTCCTTAAACAGACATCACCAAGGATACTCTTTAGGGAAAAGAGGTATTTTATGGTCATGCAGTAGCAGCTTTTGGCAACTGAATAAGTATACCACTGCTATCTCAGAAAGCTGCACATAGTGAGGTAAAGGGTGGAAATGGAACGAAGAATAGCTCTGGAAGGTGAGTAACTCTGTGACTTAGCTATGTAGATCAGAACAGGAGACCAAAGGGGAGTTCGGTGCCTGGATGTCCCTACACTGTTAAAAAAAATACCAAAAAACTTAAAAGAAAGCCAAGTGACTTACAGAGCAGATTTCAATAATTCTTAAAAATGCAACTTCTGCTGTCTTGCGAGTCAATGCAGCCTTCTAAACTATTCTGTGTTCTGGGGCCATGAACTTAAGTGCTATTTTCCTTCCTCGTCAGTTAATACTGATTTATTTTATTTTATTTTTTATTTGTTTATTTAGAAAAAGCAGTAAATGTTGAGAAATCTGGTTAGGCTTCATAGACGTGCACCATTTCTTTGAAGGTTTGAGTTCATTCACAATTCTGCATTTTCAGATAACAATTTGAATTTTGGAATAAAAACCCTTGAAGAAATCAAGTCCAAAAAAATGAAGGAAAAATCACAAAAACAAGGTGGTGAGTTCTCTCCCTCCCCTCAAATTCATAGCGCTTCTGTCTCGAGAGACAACAGCTTTTCATACATGGGAAATACATAGGAAGATTTGCATGGAGGTTTTTTGATTGGGATAATCTATATTTGCTTTCAGAGAAGGATTATTGTTTGAAAATGTCTTAAAACAGTTCAAATGTTAAAAGCAGAGACAAGATGGCACAAGCTCTCTTGTATTAGTCATGCCCTCTAAAGCAGGGAGTAAGGTCAAAATGAGAAGTGTCCAAGAATATACTCTCATGATGTTACGCATTATGCATCTTTTTCCCCTGTAGCATCTGGATAGCTGGCCAACCACTGGAGAAGACTATTTTGTGCAGTCCTTTATATTTATTCTTCTCTTGGCCCATATGTGCAATTGACTGAGTGTGAAGTCTGTATATAAAGCTGTTACACACCCTCAATTGCCTGTTCTGAGCCTTGATTTCAATTTGCATATAAATGTTGATGTGATTTTAAAATTAGTTTGCTAGAAATAAAATAGCTTTTGTCTATTTTTCCTTGTGTGTTAAGAGAGTGGCTTTTTATAAACGTTAACCCCACTAACTTAACATATTTTTACTTGTGATCAGAAGGCCCCTCTGGAGTTTCCATTCATCCACTCCAACCCCAGACTATTCCTGGCCCAGAAAAGGAAAACCTACGGACGGTGATCAGGACTGTAACGTTGTCTGCAAAACAAGGTAATAACTGTACCTGGTTCTCTGGTTCCATTTTGGTGGCTCTCTGTCTGGCTAACATGGGGTTCCTCTGCTACTGATGATGCTGAAAATATTTTGAGGGCTTTATTTAAAGCTTCAGAACTCATGGTTTTCTACTGATACATCAGAACCCTCTGAAAGAGCTGATATTCAATGAAGCATGTAGATTTTTTACTTCTGTGTCAGGACTATCAGCTTCTGGACATCACCTTTAAAGGGTTACAGAGAAGTGCTCAAGCTAACCATAATAAGCCAGTGTTACAAAACGTGATCATGATGCTGCATGCTTGACTTTACTCACAAACAGGCCTACTGGTGTGAGTAGAGCTACATATGTGCTTAAGAGTTTGCAGGAATAGGACAAGTGTTTGCATAAGGATGCAGCTGCAGAACCGAATGGTAAAAGGAGAGAGAAATGAATGAGTACAAACAGGAGAGAACTGGAGAACTAACAAGAGGAAGCGGCTACAAAGAAGCTATGTGGCATTGCAGAGGGGAACCAGCACAAAATAAGCAGAGAGGGACATGGGTAGGAGGAGAGTGTGTTCATGAGGTAGTATGCAAAGGTTCCATTTATTTTGGGAGAGAGACAAAGACAGACCCACTGCTATTAGATAGTTGTTCGCGCTAGTAAGGAATAAAACCTCAAGGCTGTGTCTAGACTGGCATGATTTTCCACAAATGCTTTTAACGGAAAAGTTTTTCCGTTAAAAGCATTTACGGAAAAGAGCGTCTAGATTGGCACAGACACTTTTGCGCAAAATCAGTTTTTGCGGAAAAGTGTCCGTGCCAATCTAGACGCGGTTTTGCGCAAGAAAGCCCCGATCGCCATTTTCGCCATCGGGGCTTTTTTGCGCAAAACAGTTTTTAGCTATCTACACTGGCCCTCGTGTGCAAATACATTTACACAAGAGGGCTTTTTCCCGAACGGGAGCAGCATAGTATTTGCGCAAGAACACTGACAATCTTACATTAGATCGTCAGTGTTCTTGCGTAAATTCAAGCGGCCAGTGTAGGCAGCTGGCAAGTTTTTCCGCAAAAGCAAGTGCTTTTGCGGAAAAACTTGCCAGTCTAGACGCAGCCCAAGTGTTTAGAAGACTTAGAGCCTGGATATGGAAGATGTGGTCTCAAGGTGCATTTTGCTTGCTTGAAAGAGTAAACTTAACTTTGTGAATACTTCTACTGTACGAGAACCTCCCACATCAGCCCAGTATATAACTATTAAACAAACTTGCACATTTGTCATCAGAGCCTTAATTACAGAAGCAAGATCTCAAACTACAATTTTTGCTAATTATACTATAGTACACTTACTAATAAGCTACCTAATTGTACACATGTTTTATGATTCAATATTCTTGCATTTTGTTTGCTCACTAATGAGCAAAACCTCACGATTTATGATGTGAGACTCTTCACTTGTAAAAACTGTCAAGTTTGTCTTGTATCTACATATGGCTAGTGATTTTTTTTCCAACTTAAAGATGCTTATGTTTCACTGTTCCAGGTGAGGAGCCTCTGATTCGATTGAGTCTCTCGGAGAGACTGGGAAAACGGAAACCCGCCATAGGTAAGAAATCATAGGCTAGGGAAGTAATGCTGGCTAGAGTCAGCTTTCTTTGCACAGCTCTGGTAATACATCTAAGTTCTAATCTGCAACACCTGTCTGCCATACAGCTGTAAGGCTCCATGCAGCTCTTCTAATGTGGTTCGATTCCATATATTTCTGGGTATGGAGCATGTGCTGTAGAACCAAATACATTTTATGGATCAAAATAAAGCTACAGTAATTTAATTTAAGATAAAAATGGACACGTATGAGACTCTCTCCTTACCTGAATGCTAGTTATAACAGGGTGGCAGTTTTTACTGCCCTGCATAAGGTTGGAGAGTAATTGCTGCTGACTGATGCTCATAGGTGGGTCTTTAACTCTAACCAGGGTAGAAAGGGAATGGAGTATTTTTTTGGAAGATGGGGAACAAGGGACTGTGAGAGGTGAGGAATTGCAGGGAAATCCTAGTAACAGCCAAACTTGAGGAGAAATCTTTTAGGGTAAGGTTTATAGTTAGATACCTATCTGAGCAGCCCTCAAGAAAGGGATAACTTTTTGACTCTGTGCAGTGGTATATATGTGAATTAGGGATGTAACAGAATAACCACTTACACGGTTACTTGCAGACCCCCGCCCTACTCTCAGGGACCTCTCTGAGTGAGAGCCCACAGCGTGGGGTGGCAGCTGGCTCCCTGGGAGTGAGGTGGGAGCTGGAATGTGCCATGAGCCGGCTTAAAAGCCTCTGTGTCAGAGGAAGCAGCGTGGGGTGGCAGCTAGCTGGCTTAAAATTTCCAGGGAATCGGCTGTGGTGCATGTATCTGTGTAACTGCTGAAATTTTCGGAAGTTACACAGTTACCCAATTACCCGCTTTTTCACGTCCATGTTGATTCACAGTAGGATTCCAGCTGCTTACATACTCTGCTTATTTAACTTAAATGTCATCTATAGATGCCATTAAGTCATCTATTCGGTAATTCCTGCACTAGTGGCTTTTTATGCTTTCCCAGAGAAATTTGGTGCTCCCAAACACCAAAGCAGATACATCACATTTGCTGCTGTACTTGTGCAGCTGTATTGTTCTGGTGCCCTTCTCCTTAAAGACGTCTGCATTTCAAGTACTCTAGAAATGTAAGTCTCAGAGGAGTAACTGTGATATTTTAACTTTAAAAATAACGAGCAGTCCTGTGACACCTTAGAGATTAACAAATATATAATACCATGAACTTTACGTTTTTACCCACAAAAGTTCATGATACAGTATATTTTTTTAGTCTCTAAGGTGCCATCGGTCTGCTTGTTGTTTCTAGAAATATAGTTGGTGAAGTGCTTTGGGGTCTTTCAGGTTGTAAAATTCTGTGTTGATTTGACAAGTGCTTTATAAAGAGAGTTTCTCAGAGAGCCTGTTACTCTCCTGACATCCTTATCTCCTGCTACATGGGTTTCAAAATGCTGCTTCTACTCTGAAAACTCTTGTGCTATATGGGAGATACAACTTAGAAGTAGAAATATCAAATGTTAGTAGCTGGAAGATGAACACAGAAAAAAATAAACTCTGCAAGGTGAAGAGAGCAGAGCTTCTAGGTGACTCCCCTGTCTTCAAATCCTCCCATGTACAAGCTATTGCGAAGGAATTCAGATCCTAGATTTTGACTTACCACTCTGTTTGGTCTTACAGATGAAAGTGGCCCTCTGTTGAAGCGTAGTCTTGCTGAAAGGCTGGGAAAGAAGCTTGAATCACTGGAGAAGGCTGACAAAGCACCGAAGAGAGGTACTGCGGCTTAAAAAAATCTTTGGGTTGGTTACATACAGGCTTCAGTTTGTGGTTCCCTTTTGGTTCTTTCTTAGATGAAGCCTCTCAAGATCACTCTTGAGTTTCACTGATGTGGTCTCCCTTGAAGCCATATGAGATGCAAAGGAGACTTAAATGCAGCCCACCTAACTGCTTTGTGTTTGATCTTGCAGTTCAGGCCCCCAAGTCTCTTAAGGAGAGGCTAGGATTGCCAGCTGAGCAGGCTAGCACCAACACAGGTAACAGCTGTGTGTTAAAACTGATGTTTGCCTTTTTCTTGGATCTGCCATTTATCAGCAATCCACGTTATCCTGCTCTTAGCCATTAGAACTCCAGTATCTGCCATAATGAGAGTTCCGGCTTGTGACAGCCAATTTGGTTCCACTTGCGCTTCAGCAATCTTCAGTCACCTGTTTATAGCTACAAGAGTTTGAAACCTGCTTGGAGACAAGTGAAACAGAAATTGGAAATCAAGATATGGGATTGGAAATGCCAGTTGAGGCAAGGGACGTAATAGTGTAGTCGATTAACCAATAAGCAGAATGTATAGGTTAATGCTATAGACTACATGCATACCTTCCTTCCCTTGCTAGTAAATTTTTTAGCAAGCTGGCCAGAAGCCTGGCTCAGTCCTAGCTCATGCTATATTCAGGACCTACCCCCACTGTGACTCTGTATTTAAAATGTATTAGGAGCTGAGCGGGCAGGCAGCCCAGCTTTGTCTCAGCTTGCGCCAGATCTGGGAGCTCAGACCCCCTCGTACACAAGAACTGCTTTGCTGCTTCCTCTGTATCAGAGGCAGCAGAGACGGGTGGCAGACAGGAGCCAGGCTGCATGGGGAGACGATTTTTAAACTGGTTCCCCTCATGGGCCAGCTCTGCCTGCCACCCCACGGTGCTGCCTCTGATACAGAGGCAGCATTGCAGAGTGGCAAGGGGCTCCTCGGTTGTGAGGCTGGAACGCACTGGCTGCCGACCACATTCCCTGGCACTATTGAATAGTTGACTAACCGATAAGAATTCATGAGGTTACTCGACTATTCAATTAACCGATATTTAGCATCCCTATTCGAGGTTACAGAAGGTAGTGTGTACCCGTGTACGTGATTAACCAGTAACCCTGGGCTCATTAGTTAATCCTAACAGTTACACGCACATACAGCCCCTTGCTGCCTCTGAATTAGAGGCATCAAGTGAGGGGGAGGCAGGAGACGGTGCCCGTGGGGCACCGGCTTAAGTTGCGAAGCTGTCTCTCCCTCTCTTTCTGACCTCCCCCCGCCTCTGTGTCAGCACTGGCTTCCTCCCCCACGCTGCTGCTGGCTTTCAAGCCGGCTCCCTGTGTACACCGCTTTCCACAGAGCTGCCTGCTTCCTATGCTGCTGCCTCTATATCAGAGGGAGCAGCAGGGGATGGTGAACAACAGGGTTCCCTCTAACATTTTCCATCCTTGGGTGGGTTACATTTTTTGCGCAGGTTGAAATTTATGTGCACGATCAATATTGAAGTTGTGTGGGGATGTGCAGTGTGTCCCAGTACAAATAAAAAACCTTGGTATAAATATATATTTTAAACAGTCCATAGGTATGGAAGAGAATATATTAAAACAAGGGATAATTAACAAGGAGTAATGCTTAAGATGATTGTTTAATATGAAATTAAATAAAGAAAACTAACACTACCCTTAGAGTACACGTATCCTCGTCCTTTCTAACAGCTCAAGCTAGTAAACACACCAGAATGGGGCATACTGCAAATAACTATCTAAATAAATCAAATACATGGCCATTAAGTAAAAGCCTAAAAAATATGCACCGCTTTTAAGATGCTAAACAAATCTATGAATCAACTAGAAATAGTCATGCTCTCCTTGAAAATATGAATACAATATTTACTGACACTGGAAAGAAGAACAAAAGGCATTCATTCAGGCTTGTACACTTTCTCTGGGAATGTTTAGGATCCATGCTATGCAAATGAAACAGAGATCTATAAAACAGATAAAAGTTCTGGTCTGAAATTTTTACCTTGTGTGTGTCACTAGCTTAAAGAGTAGGAGCCCACAAAGCACTTGTCCAGAATCCAACTCCAATTAAAAGGCTAAAGAAATTAAACAGGATCCATTGTAAAGTTCTTCCAGTTTTAACAATTTACCAAGTATTAACTAGTGACAAAGGATTTTAAAAAGATTAAGATCAGAGTTTGCAGATATCTGCAACACTAACAAAAATTCTGTTAAGAAACCTTTCCTTTCTTACCTTACGCCATTACCACCTATGTAAACTTGGTTTGAAATGTAATCATGCAAATGTCATGAGCTAGGCCTTTTGCTGTAGTATTCAAAAGCAGCCTAAAAGCTTTTAACCCGCCTGAAATATTGGCACTGCCCCATGTAGCCTGCCCCAACCCAGGAGAGAGTCCTACATCTGCAGCCCAACTAGGGCTGCTGTGCTGAGATAGGTAGCCTGGCTCTTGCTGCCTGCACTGTAGATGGGGGCAAGTTAAGACACCCCAAACAAACTCCTCTCTGTCCCCACCTCCCTGCACAGATGCCATCACCGTCCCCCATTTCCTTTACCTACCCCATGCAGTTTGTTCCCTCTCTCCCAGACCAGGACGCTAGAGGAGCATGCTGGGTTTCCTCACAGGAAGCTGCAGGCAAACCCAGCTGCTGTAATCAGAGCTCTAATCAAACCTCTCCTCTCCCAGACAGGTACTTATGGCATGCTCAAAACTCCCCTCCCCTCTGGCCCCTTCCCATCCCAGCCACATCCTTACTCACTCCTTCTCCTCTTCCTTCCTCCTTATGTCCCCTTCCCTACCAGCATGCTTCTTGTCTGGAGCAGGGAGCTTCTGCTGCTGAGGGAGTGCCCCTCCACAGCCAGGAAGCTTTCTGCATGGCAGCCTTAACCCTCTGGGCGCAGCTGCTCTGCCACGCAGCTTACGGGGAATTTAGGTGGGCTGGGGGAGCCACGGCTCACGGGGAGCCGGCTTAAAAGCTGGCTCCCTGCAAGCACCAACTCCCACCTGTCCCCTGTGCAGAAATGTGTAACCACTAAAAAATTCAGTGGTTACATGTTTACAAAAATAAATGTTTAAGAACCCTAGTTGAAGCACAAGGTAGTGATAGAATGGGGCAAATGTAAGTGCGTGAGAGATGTCTGTATCTGTGCTGCAGTCATCAAAACAGTAACAGGTTGTTTACAGAAAAGAGATTGTGTGCCCTACCGTTTGCTGTACGAGCTACTCTGAATGACATTCACAAGATTAGGTTATGACTTGGTTTCGTTTTACGTGCTGATATTCATAGGTGTTTTTGGGGCCCTAAACAGCTACTTAATTTTTTTTTCAATGTGCCAGGTCACAGTCTTCTCTTTAAATGTTTTGGGGTTTTTCTCTTTTGGTGACAACAGAGAGAGCTGCAAAACCAGCAGGCGAGATCCGTGTGAAAACACTAGAGGAAATCCGTCTTGAGAAAGCCAGCCAGAGACGGGAAGAACCTCAAACCAAACCCAAGACTGAAGAGTCTTGTAAAACAGAAGATTCTAATCCAGGGGTAAGGCCCTGTGCAACAGTTCGAATCAAAACCTTTTCTGAGGTCCTGGCTGAGAAAAAACACAAGCAGTTGGAGGAGGAGAAGCTAAAAGCGGAAGAGAGCCCTACCAAGCCGAAGACTGAGAGTGAGCCCAAAAAGCAGGCTTCTGCAACTCCACCTGTAGCCAGCAAAGGGCAGCTGGAGGAGTCAACAGGCAAAGCCAAGTCAATAGGGGAGGTGCGCATTAAAACACTGGAGGAGATCAAGCAGGAGAAAGCCCTGAGGATGCAGCAGGGTGGAGAGAACACGCCAAACACACCAGCACCACCTGAGCTTACTCCCACAGGGAGGAGATTACTGCGTATTACCAAGCTGACAGGTAACACATGCTTTGGCCATCGTTGGGGTACATCAGGCTTCCTGTTCCTTGCTAGTATTTTCAGTTGACGCCGAATTCTCTCACTTCACTATATATTACAGTTAGAAGACTGTTAACTTTTGACTTTGCAACTTCAGTAATCTTTTAAGAGTGCCACAATTAAGGTTGTTCATTCAACTTTACTGTCTGCTTTATACTAGGGATGTTAAAGACTACTAAACTATCCAATAAGCATTTGCTTATCCGATAGTCTGTCGACTAGTCGATTTCCCCGCTCCCCCCTTGCTGCCAATATGAGAGAGAGGCAGCAAAGGGGGAGGGGGAGAGGTACTTCAAAGTGGCAGTGCTGCAGTGCGGCGCTGCTGCTTTGAAACCCCAAGGCAGATCAGCTATCAGGCTCCTCGTAGCATTTCAAAGTGGCAGCGCTGCATGGAGCCCGGGATCTCCAGCTGATCCTGGGCTTCACGCAGTGCTGCCTTTTTGAAACACTGCATGCAGACTAATGCTGGGCTCCCCACGGTGTTTCAAAGTGGCAGTACTGTACAGAGCCCTGGGTCAGTGGGAAGTCCCCAGCTGATCCTGGGCTCCATGCTACACTGCTGCTTTGAAATGCCGCATTCAGCCTGGGGACACCCCAGCTGGCCCCAGGCTGCATGCGGCATTTCAAAGCGGCAGCACCGCGTGGAGTCCAGGGTCTGACCGGCACTGCTGCTTTGAAGTACCCTCTCCCTGTATTTCTAATCCTGCACTGATGCACATCCACCCACCCCAGGGCCAGGAAGAAAAATATATGGTGCACAATGTATTTAAAATACTACACTACAGCTCTTCAGAACTTCTCTAAGATGATTTAGGAATCCAAGTGTGAATTTCTTTTAAGTTTTACTTCTTGAAATGCAGAATAGCAAAATTGTCTGTATGTCATAAAAGTTCCTGCATAAAGAAATTAAATGGTACATTATATAGGGCCCATAAGCATGCATCCTAAATCATACACACCACTGTAAACATCTTGTTGTAGCCATAGCTATGAGTGCTCACAGCTAACCACTTCTGAATGCGGTCACATTTTGTCATAAGACTCCCAGGAATGCTGAACATTCTCTTTGAACCACTTGACCAATGCTGCAAGAGATCTCAAAGCACGGATTCATTTAAGTCTCTGGGAATGCGTTCCACATTCCCTCCCCGTAATCTCATAAATTAAGATTTAAGCAGCACTTTTAAGGATTTTTGGTGTTATTTCAAGCCTGCAGAGAGAAACAGGCTTTTTGCATTATTAGCACTCATTAAAGTTTGAACACTTCAGTGAAAAAATAATTTGCACCAGGGTTCTAGTTAGGGATGTAAAATCCCAATTAATTGGTTAACCAGTTAAACATACTGGTTAACCAATTAAAAGGGGGCAGTAGGGGCCTGTGGCAGACAGACTGCTCTGGACATCAGGAGCAGCCCGTCCAGGGCAGGCTCTACAGGACTGGCGCATCCCCATGCCTACAGTGGGGTGGGAGCTGGTCCAGCTTGTAAGCATTTGTTTCAAGCAAAATAAAATCATTTTAAAAGTCACATTTGGAAATCACTATGAACAAAATCAGAAACAGCCATTGTTTAAGAACCTTGTGCATTTTTAAATTTATCCAAGTAGGGAATCCATATGCCAGAACATCATTTTTCTCACACATTTTTTGTTCTGTAGAGAATTCTTTGTTCACAGGAAGCATACAAAGCCAGACCTTGAGCTACTTACTTAATGAAATCTTGTAGTATAGCTCACTTCCACATTGTAATTTCTACTTGGGGGAGGGACAACAGTTAAAAACCATGGGAGCTTCCATATCCCTATCCCCAGAGTTAGAACAGGTTAAAGCGCCAAAATTTAGCAAATACCTGACTAGCTAAACTAGACAACACAGCATACACTCCACAAATAAGACAATCACAGTACCCAACGAAATCATCATGCTGCTCAAGTGCTGCATGTGGACTGGGTTTCTCAACAAGATGCAAAAGAGGTATGTAAAATGCAAGTCTGATAACCAGGTAGGCCTACCATTGCTTTGCACTTATAGATACATTTTATCAAGTTGTTTGTTTTCTTGACAACTAGCCTAATGGAGTTTTGACCAAACCAATCAAACTATATTAACCTCATCCTCTAAAAAAAAAATTGCCTTTCACAAATAAAGATTTAGGATAGGAATCTGGGTGTTTACTCTTCACTGGTAGATGGAGAAGTTGAGGATTATATTCTACCAGTCTCTCCCTTCTGTTCTGGGGCCAGCTGATGCCCTTTCTACCTGGATATAGTCAGCTGATTAAGCAATGGACAGATTCCACAAATTCCCTCCATGTTTTTTTCTATTTTTGTCCTCCTGTGATTTCAGTTCTTTGATCTAAATAAACTCAAACCAGATTTCCAATGAGACTGCAATAGTAGTGGCAGCCTGTAGTCCTTTCCCTTCATAGCCTTGCTCATTCATTTATTCCTGTAAATTAAGGCTGTTAAGGATTAGTCAACTATCCGATAAGCATTTGCTTATCCGATAGTCTGTCGACTAGTCGATTTCCCCGCTCCCCCCTTGCTGCCAATATGAGAGAGAGGCAGCAAAGGGGGAGGGGGAGAGGTACTTCAAAGTGGCAGTGCTGCAGTGCGGCGCTGCTGCTTTGAAACCCCAAGGCAGATCAGCTATGTGGCGGCTGCCCCTTTAAAATGCTGCCTCCGGGCATTTCAGAGGGGCAGCTATAGAGCCAGGGGGCAGCTGAGGACTCCCTACCTGATCCCGGGCTCCACGGCTGCCCCCTTTGAAATACACGGAGGCGGTGTTTCAAAGGGGTAGCACCGCACAGTGAATCCGGGAGTCCCCAGCTGATCCTGGGCTCCGCGCGCAGCATTTCCCCAGAACCCGGAGTCATCTGGGGACTCTTGTACATTTCAAAGCAGGTGTGCAGCTGAGAGTCAGCGGGACTTCTGACTGGCCCCGGGCTGTAGGCGGAGTTCCACATTCCTCCTTTGAAATGTACAAGAGCCCCAGCGGAGGCTCGTGTACATTTTAAAGGAGGAATGCAGAAGTGCTTATCGACTAGTTGAGTAGTCAATGGAAATTCCATCGACTAGTCAATTAACTGCATTTTAACATCCCTACTTTATACACATGCAAGATTGCCTTTATTTACATATCACTTGCTATATCTTTTATGGGGCTCCTGCCTTATTCAGTGAATGCGTAGTTATTCAATTTGTAGAGGACAAAATGCAATATAAAATATGTGGCTTCAGACGCAAACTCTGTCCTGATTACAAAATTCATTTCCTCCTGAGAGTTTCTGTGATCCTCTCGAAATAATAATGGAGTCAATGGTTCTCGAACGTTAATGTAGGAATCTTCACAACACCCCTGTGAGCTAGGGATTTGTTGTGTTTTGGTTTGGTTTTTGTTTTTTACAAAGTGTGGGAAATTGAGGCACAGCAAAAGCCTAAGGCCAAAATTGTCCACTCATTTTCAGTGCCTAACTTAAATTATCTAGGACTCGATTTTGTTTTAATGCAATTCAGACCTTGTGATTTCAGTGTGTACAACCTGAAGCAATGGAAGATTGTGGAGCATAAGCTGCAGCCAGATTCTTAGTCTATTAAACTGGTGCATTTACCCCAAAAGGTTTGAATCCAGTAGTATGGAATGCTATTCAGGATGCCATGTGTGGTGTTGGAACCAACTTGACACTTAGAATTAACAATGTGGGTTTGGCATGTTTTAAAGCACCTGGCAAGGAAGAAAAGAAGTTGGACTCGAGTGTTCCGCCCCCCAGAACTGGTCCCGCAGACAAGGCTGCAGAGGTGAGTCTCTGGAGAATATAGGAAACACCATGGGTCTGAAGGTGCTTTGAGTGATATTCACATTCTGTTTACAAGCATGACTTGGCGCATATCTCCAATGCGGTGGGGACATCTGTACGTTTCTGAATCTAACGAGCTGAGAGTAATCCAAAGTGCTGTCTTCTGTATTAACATTTCAAGACAACATTGCAGTAATGAAATAGCTTTGAATGACTCATTGTTTACACTTCGTAATGAATAAGAAGCCCTGGGAGCAAGTTTTTAATAGCCAGGACTTTGTAGTCAGAGGTAATCAATCTGCTGTCTATTGAGGGCAGCATTGGCAGCTTCTGTTTCCCTTGGACTCCTACTAAAAATGGAATAGATTGCAGCTAGGGTCTTTTGCTTTGACCAAGGGACTAGCCATTTTGGGACTTGTAACCTCTGTGGGCTACACTTCTGTAGTACGGGTGAGTGTGTCTGTGAATCTTGAGGTAGGTTGCTGATATGCAGCTGACGGATATTAGGGTGGTGCTGAGTTCAGTGTCCTCTCCAGAGGAATTGCTGATTAGGTTTTTGTTATGAATTCTCCCTAGATTTGTTCCATCTTGTTCCTCTCTTTTCCCTCTAGTCTTCAGAAGAGAGTGCAAGCAACTCCACAGCTCAAATGAAGAGCTCTGAAGAGATACTGAGGGAGAAACGGCAGCTGAAACCACGTCAGAAGGAGATGCCTGCTGTGCCATCCTCTGGGGAAGAAACATTGGAAGAGAAGAGCCCAGTAGCTGGGAATCCTGAATGCACAATGACTCCCGGGGCAACTCGTCGGCTTACAAAGAGACTGACTGTGAAGTCAGAGGAAGCAGTGATGGAAAGTCCAAAACCAGAGGAGTCAGTACTACCAGTGACTCGTGGAGCTCAGTCTCTGGAGCGAAAGGCTAAAGGTGAATGTCGTTTTGGTCTGGTGTTTTCTGTAGCAGGAATTTAACCTTAGGAGCTGGATCATTTAATCTGTTCGCAAAATCACTGTTATTTTTGCTCAATGTTTTCAGGGAAAGATGGCCAGTACCCATTGTGCAGTGTAGGCACAATTAGACTTTTGCCATCACAACAAGTGCAGCAGAGAAGACGCATAGTTTATTCAGTTGGCAAAATGGACAGCCTTGATTCAGAACAAGAATGGAGTAGTGAAGGAGTTATTGCAGGTCTGGATTTAGATGCATTAGCACAGTAGTGTAACAAGTTGTGCAGACCCTTGATGTGGGTGGGACGGGAAGCATACACAGCATTTGCCTGTTCAGCATTTGCCTGACTAGCTTTAGGCATTGTTAACCCTTTCTTTTCTGAGCGCTCTAAAACTCCCAAACGTAAAAGAAACCAAAAAAACTAACTAGTATATGACTTTCATTCATGAACACTGACATGAAACGTGATGATGTGGCTTAGGATCTTGACACTGTCTGGATTTTCTTTGTATTCTCCCTTTCACTTCTGATTGGTTTATTTCTGACTGATGGGCAGTGCTGCTGTGTTCCATCCCAAACATGGCTGTGTTAGGGGAGGTGCAGGAATGTCTGAACTGTGTTAGAACTGGTAAGATGAGACACTGTGCAAATGTAAATGTATTAGCATTTTTATAGATTGCTGACTATGTATTTGAACTACCTACCAAAGGGTCAATCAGGGGTTAGGAGGTACTATGCCTTGCTGGCTTTACAGAGGATCAAGGAAACTGGACCATTCCAGTCAGCCTCTGTTACTTTCCTTTTACATTCCAGCCAAACCCAAGGTGAATGTGAAGCCATCGGGTGGGAAAACCATCTCCCCTGCAAAGCAAGCATTGAAACGTAAGGTGGCCGAAAGTCACCCTTCTGCTATTGCAGCTGTGAAACCACTGAGCACCACCAGCAGTGACTCGAAGGAGCTCCCCACTAAAAAAGCCGCTGTGGTAAGGAAACTGGCTTACAAGCTGGACAGTCTCTGGTGAAACCTGAACAGAAGTGTTTTGCCCTACCCTCAGAAACGATACAAGATAGATAGAGGGATGCCGGGTCTCTCTAATGAAGTTCTGCCCTGATGCGAGTCCCTTGCCATATCATGGGGTACTTCCGCTGCATCTTCCATCTTTTATTAGATGGGTCACAGCGCTTATTATAATGTTCTTGGTTAAATGCCTTCTCACTGGAGAACAAGGCAAGAATGTTCAAGCACTTGTGTGCACTCGGCCAGTCAGCTAATGCTGACGACTTCAAGCCTTGGGCAGGCATGGAGTTTTGTGATGCCCAGATTTGTTTTGGCATGGGGCTCGGGGATGATAAGGCAAGGATGGGGCAGGCCTTCCGCTGGAGGAAAATAAATCTGAGAAATATTTTAATTGCATCCCTTAACCTTTACCTTTTTTTCCCTCAGGCTACTGTTCTAGTCCTGCCAGAGGATAGTCCAGTCACTGTACCTGAGAGAGCAAAAACCAGAGATGGGTAATGTCTACAACTTGCTCCTGTTCCTGTTAGAAAGATTTTTTTGCCACTGGGGTTTGTTTGAAACTTCCGTGCAGCGTGTGCCTGACATTTGGGAAGATGAATTTGAGATCATCCGTGTCTTAGGATACCTGTTAAACTCTGCAGCAGACACTGTTTTAATTTTCTAACTCTTGAGCAGCTCTCATTTGTGGTCTCCAGCTTTAAGTACAAGATCACTTTAAGTCAATCCAGGCTCTCTCACTCAAATACCCTCCTCCCATCCTATATTCAAGGCCCTGCACCACCTCGCCCTTTCTCCAAGCCCCTGCCCTGCTCATTCTGTGGAGATGGGTTACAGAAATGGAGGGAAAGGGATAACCTGAGATCAGTGACCCCTACCCTCTTCTGCCTTCTCCACCCTGCACAGCAAGTAGGAGGCTCCTGGGGAGGCAGCTCCAAGGCAGAGGGCAGGAGCAGCATGGCAGTGGAGGGGAGAGGTAGCTTAAGTGCCAGCACTTGATATTCTCCCAGCTAAACCAGTCAGGATCACCTGTCAGAGGCTCCAGAATCTACCAGTAGATCCCAATATATTGATTGGTGGCCACTGTTTTAAAACATTTGAGTTGATTTTTTTTCGTGTCTATGAATTGGCATAGCTTTCAGTGGCATCCTTCTGGATTCCTGTGAGGTGCTGAAAGAAGCAAGGGTGGCATTGGAGTGGGATGAAGAGAGGGGAAGGCTTTTCTCCTGGTTCCTTGTCAAATACTAAGTAATAGCTGGCATTCTCTGTGACCAAATGCATGTCTTGGTAAAAGGCTCTGTGAATCAGGTTTGACTAGAATCGATTGCTGTCAGCTTTGTACTTTGAATAGCAAATACATCCAGATGTGATGTAAATAGTCGATGTCTGTTTTAACAAACAGTTCTTATCCAGTCACATGTTTTGACTTGGAAATAACCACTCCTTAATTACACTGCAATTCCAAGGATTGGAAGTGTGGGGTAACACTGCAGGTAGGGTGTTGGGCAAAATAAATATTTTCATTTAAGAAATGTCTAATTGCTCTCTCTCTTCTCCCAAGCCCTGAGTTGCACATAGGAAGCCAGGCAGCCTCTGTGGCTCAGTCAGAGATGTCAAGCCCAACTTCTTCGCAGGCAGCAATCAAGACCCGCAGGCTAAGCTCCACCGCAGCTGGGAAAGCACCTTTGTCCGTAGAAGATGACTTTGAGAAGCTGATTTGGGAAATCTCTGGAGGCAAACTGGAAGCAGAGATTGATCTGGATGCAGGGAAGGATGAAGATGACCTCCTGCTTGAACTCTCTGAAATGATTGACAGTTGAACCAAATCTTTTAAAACAAAACAAAAAAAAATTAAAACTCTTATTTTGTTGGATACCCAAGATAAACCTTTTTCTTCTATATGAGATTTTGCCACAAGTCTTGAACTAGTAGAAATCGGGAATATCTGCACTCAGTTGTCATTAATTTCCCTGCTGGTCAGAGTTAAGAACCCGTGCGTCCATTCTGTAACAATAGACACCTATCTTGAATACGTGAGGAATTCAACACTTCAAAGTTTCAGACCAGAAAGATCTTGGGAGTCTATCTATAAAGTCTGGGATTGTAAATTTCTTCCATTGATTCAAGGCTATGAAAGCTTTAAAAAAAAAAGTTCATTGTATTTCAGAGCTTTCTTTTGCTTTGTTTTCTTGAATGGCCTGAAATTACTATGTCAGTTCTTGAGTTGCATTTGTCCTTACCTTCTTTTAATATTTCAGAGAAAATTAATGAAAAAGTGGGGAGAGAAAGATAATTATTACAGTAATGTGGGCCAAAAATACTGCCAAAGGTGCAGGATCAGATTAGCCCATTCAGTCTTACTTCCTTTTAATTATCAGGGATGATACAATATCAGTATGGTAAGCAGCAGCTATATAATATATGAAGACTGCCTCTCTCTATGAATCATACTGTATTAAATTGGGAGGAGGGATACTTTTGTTGATTAAGATCCTGGGACAAGTTGTGTAACCCATTGTGTAGTCTGCTACAAAACAATACATTGAAAATGGGTCTTAAAAGTGCCTCTGTTTCCAAGAATCTCTTCCTACTTCTGATTTTTCTTCTACCCGGAAGCAAGTAGTTGCTGGAACTGATGGGGAAAACACTTATTTTCAGCTTTCTTTGAATCCCAGTTTGTTATATAGGCTTGTCTGATGTAGCATGGTGCTGGAATTTGGCCAATAGGAAGCATGTGTCAAGTCAGGCAAGTCTTAGTAAAGTGTTGCACTGTCAGAGCAAATTCTGTGCCCCTCTCCTGTCCTGTGAATACCTTTCTCTCTCTTATTACTTCATTTCTCCATCCTACCCCATTCTTTGGGCCTGAATTAATCATTTAGGAAGTAGACACCTGCAATTGGGAGTTAGGAAAACTAGTTTTCTGTGCTTGGCAGTCCTTTTGCCTGAACTGTGTATATGGAATCTTGCTGTGACCCAGTAGTGAACATTTGAGATTGGGGTGTATTGTGTACCCCATCACCTATGTTCATTTTGACCATGAATTTTCTTTTTACATTTTCTTAAACTTTCAACACACCAGTTCCTTCCGACTTTGAGCTGTGAAGAAATAGGTGTGGCAAGGTTTTTGCTGCTGGCAGGCTTAAAAAAAATTAATTGTATTGTAAATATTTTTCTTTGAAAGAAAACACATATATGATTTGATAATCCACTGTGATGTCTTAGTCCTTCTAGGGAAGATTTGAACCAAAACTAGTTTTTAAATTAAAAAGCCCACTCCTGAAGAAATGGCTGTTATAGTTCTAGGAAGGACACCTAGGAGGAAACTTCATCCCAAAGAAGCTGGAAAGCAACAACCTTCCATTTATCATAAAGAGACTTCTGTTTGCTCTGGTTGCTTGTACTCAAATGGAAGAGACTTTCAGAGAGAGCCATGTATGAGAGATTGTGTTCTCAAAAGCTTTTCCTTGCTGCTTGTTATTTCTCAGTGTTCAACAGAATATTCTGTTTTGTTGTCATCTTTCTTCACTTCCTTCTCTGGGTGAGAAGTCCTTTCTATAAAGGCAGAATTTTATGTATGCCTTCACTTCTGTAAATATTTTATTCTTTCATTTTCTATTTAGTTTGTATTTAAGGCATTATATTACATGTAATCTGAATCATACATGTTCACTGTGAGTTTAGCTGTTCATGAAAAACATTACTCCTGATTTTAAATAAAGCTGATGTAGAAAGTCTTATTTCAGATGTTCTGTGCCTATCTGGGTAAGATGCGGAGGTGGGTAGGAGGCGCAAACAAAAGGGTCTTTTGATTTCTGTAGCCAATAATTGTTAGTAGTAGAGGAATTGGTATGTCCCAGTAGTAGGGAATTGTTGAAGCAAAACAAGCTTCTCTGTGATTAGGCAGCTAACAAAAGCTTTATTGATCAATAAGGCACAAAGTGAGCCAAACGTGGTCCCAGCAGAGCTGGGCCCAGTAAAGCTGCTAATACAATCAATCCTAGTATCTTTATACCATTAACCAAACAAGTCTGACGTCAGGGCATCCAATTATAGAAATCATTAATTAAACTTAGAAAAGCAAAACCGTTATCAGCAAGACAGTGGGCAGGTACTAGGGAGTGGGTCTCCCTTCTCAACCAGCTCAATTAACACATTCCAATAGCTCATCTTGCAGGCCTCTATCATGGGGTAACAGAAAGTTCACTCACTGGCGTACATGCAGAAGCAAGAAGCTGAAATGGTTTCTGTTATACAAGATGGCTTCTAGCTAAATCTGAAAATGGTTTCCACAGAATGCAGAGAGGAATCAGGATGAGCTTGCAAACAATGGAAGGCAGGCAGTGGGACACTGTGTGTGGAATCGCAATACTTGAGTGTGTTTTTTTTCATCCTTCAGTCTCCAAGCGCTTCACAAAACTGGAAGAATATAATTGCCATCTCACAGAAGAGGAAACTGAGACACAGAAAGGTAAAGTGACTTGCCCAAACAACAGTGCATGCCAGAGCTGGGCAGAGCACAAAGCCCTACAAATGGAGGGGGTGAAGCCACTGGAAAATTCTTAATGTGCTTGCTTTCCTCAACTTCATCACAGTCTTCTGAGAGTGAGAGTGGTTGTATTATTCCAGCATACACTTGACAAACTGCAGTAATGACATATATGTATGGCCTCCTAGAACTGGGGACAAATCTACTTTAAAGGAGAGGAACAAAAGGATAGCAAGGCAGGCATCCTTTTTGTGCCTACCATGCAAATGTTCATCTTGATCTGAACATCCATGTTATCCATTGCACGGTTGTCCGGGAGAGGATGTAGGGTGAAGTGAGTGGAATTTAACAGTGACCATATTTTCTGAATCAAAAATAGGGACACCTTGGCCACACCCCCTGAAACCATTAGCGGGGCCCCTGACCCCTTAGGCCCTACCTACCTGCCACAGGAAATCCCACCCCTGGGATAGTATTTCCAGGGTCAAGATGAATATATCACTGGAAGTAAAGGGTGTCATGTGACCCCTCTAAAGCACTCCTCCCACCATTCTCTACCTAGAGGGATCTATTTGGGCCCCATAGAAGTCTCCCATGCAACTATACTGCAATTGCATAGACCTAGGGTCCCATGATAGTGCAGTGCTAGGGGTCTAACCTCGATTCAAGATGAGATCCAATAAGACCTATTACTTTGCAGTGTAGATGCAGCCCCATTTGACTCAGAACCTGGGAATCATCCAGAACTATCCCACAATTTCATGGGACAATTTCCATAGTCCTCTTAATGGATGTTGCCTACTGGCTCCAATTAACTGGTAATCAGAGGGGGCTGGAGCTAGGAAGGGGGCTGCTCCAGGCTCATAGAGGGCCTACTGCAGATAGGGGTTACGCTCATCCAAATCAGCCATTGTCTCTGGAGAACTCGGGGGCCCCACAGGCATGGACTGCACCTCTCTCCATGGGGAGTCCAGCTTGCTATAGACAAGGGCTGCTCCAGAAGGGGCTGGGAACCAGCGGCAGCCCCACTGTGACCTAACATTAACCGGTTAACTGATGAATGGGAATTTACATCCCTAATGAAATGGACTGCAACCGCATTTTTTGAAGTTACTGCAAAATTATGAAGTGTCCTCCATTTCCACAAGCCAGAATGACAATACCGAATCATGACAATTACAGGGTGGGGAAGACTATGTCATGAATCCTCATTACCTCTGCTTGAAAGGTACATTGCCCACTATATCAATGGGGCTAGGCTATTTTATATGTAAAGCTACTGAGAAATGTCTATGCCAATACCATGATGGCAATGCCTATATTACGTAAATAATAGCTAATAATAATTGCCAAATGAGACCACTTCCCAACCTGCTTACAAAGCGCCTGATCCAATTTAATTTTAAGCTAGGATTGGGCCCAAAGCAATCTGTTGATATTACCTAAGAAGATCTGGGTAATATTTAGTCATCCTTCAAAAATATAAGGGACCAATCAGTCAAAGCCCCACTCCCTGGTAGAGGCAAACTGAAGAAATTTGGAGAAACTTTGAATTTACTTCAGACAGCAGCACTTTCTCTCACTAGACATGGGGTCTTTAGCACAGGTTTCACTTTGTGTCAGAATAACTAAGAAATGCGTTGTCTCAGCTAGCTCCATTGAAGTCTAGGCAATGTGTAGCCCAAAGACAGAACAAATTCCTTTGAAGCTGGAAGTCAAAACATCTCACCTCTTCACAGAGCTCACAAAGGGCTTGTTCACCATGACACAACCTCTCTGGAGAGAGATCATAGAATACTAGGACTGGAAGGGACCTCGAGAGGTCATCGAGTCCAGTCCCCTGCCCTCATGGCAGGACCACGTACTATCTAGACCATCCCTGTTAGACATTTATCTAGCCTACTCTTAAATATCTGCAGAGATGGAGATTCCACAACCTCCCTAGGAAATTTATCCCAGTGTTTCACCACCCTGACAGTTAGGAACTTTTTCCTAATGTCCAACTTGTCCCTCTATGGAGGCACCAAGTATTTTCACCTGGCATATTAACACATGGTTTAAATCATTAACTGCTTGGATGAGGAAAACTCACAAAAAGTCTGTCCATCATCCACACCTGAGTGACTGATTTCACCACTGTGGTAACAGACCCAATCTCTCTGGGGGCTCTTCTGGAGCAACAGGGAGACTGGGGATGTCTCTCGGGAGAGAGGCCAGGGGTACCTCTATTTCAGTGATTTTCAACCTTGTTGAGCCAGGGGGTCCAATGGCCAATGTAAACCTTTCCATAGACCACCAGTTGCTAATGGAATCTCACTGTTAACTACAGGCAGTCCCTGGGTTACGTACAAGATAGGGACTGTAGGTTTGTTCTTAAGTTGAATTTGTATGTAAGTCGGAACTGGTACATATTGTAGGGGAAACTCTAACCAAACATTTCCCCAGAGCTCAGTTTTATTCTCCCACACCTCACTTCCCTCAGTCCTTTATTCTCAAGCTGAAGTGCTATCAGACCATTTGTTGTTTTTTAAGTTTAGATTATTTATGGCCGGCATGGGGAACATTTTTTGGGTGAGGGGCCATTGAGCCACAGAAAAGTCAGTTGGGGACCACAGACATGAGAAGCAAAAGAACTTCAAAAACCCCGAACCCTCACCAACGTGACCCCCAACTGAGACACCACATTCCTCCAGCGTTCCAGCCCCAACTTTTCTGGAAGATTTTATGGAGCCCCCTTAGTTTCTGGGTTGGGAACAAAAATCAGGGGTTCAGTATGTGAGACAGGGCCACCAGAGAATGGGATAGCGATGGGGTGCAGGATCTGGGAGAGAGGTGGGGGGAAGAAGAGGGAGAGGTTGCAAGGTGTGGGTGGCAGGTAGGGTGCCGCAACAGGCTGGGAGTAGAGTATCTGGCTAGGGGGAGAGGACAGTGTGTGGTGAAGGAGGAGGGTGCAGGAGGAACGGTGGACGCAGGAGTGGATTTGGGCCTATCAGGGTTTTTTTCTGAAAAAGCTATGCAAATTGCACGCCACAATTTGAGTAGCTTTTTCCAATTGTTTTTCCACCATTTGGCCCCGTCTAGCCAAGCCCAGCCATGAGGTGGGGTGCTGCTCTCTGCCCCTCCCCTTCCACCGGGCCATGGGGGGTGCTCTTCTTCACACACCCCCAGCAGAGATGCTCTTCACCGCACTGCTTCCCCCCTTTCCTCCCCTTGTCTGTCCCAGCCGGCAGCCCAGCCACTTACTCGGCTTCCCAGGCTCCTGTGGGCACAACCTCCTGCTTCTTCTATTGGCTGGATCCTCATTCACAGGGAAGTCCCAGAAGCATCCCTGACTCCTCCTTAGGGAGGGCTAGGAGGGAGGAAAAGAAGCAGAGAGGGACTTTTTTCCGGGACAAATCTGGGGGGTGTCGGGACACCTGGAAAAAACATTAAAACTTGGGACAGTCCCGGATTTTGGGGGCCATAGGGTCACTATGCTGAGCGTTGCAAATCTGCAGATCTCTGCGACTAATTTTTGGCCGATGGGTGCGGGGGACAGTCTTTGTATCTAGAACCCTGCAAATGCGCAGATCCCGGGGGGTATCCGCACCCCGGATCGAAGGCAGCGGGGCCTGGTGTCTGCGGTACCAATGCTGCAGCGGGGCTCTAGGTGCAGGCCCTGCAAGCATCCTCCAGTGTCTTAGTCTAGTGCAAGGCCGGTGTGTGTCTATTGCAGAACATTTAGGTGGGGGGCCATGGCATGAGTTATTCCTGCAACCAGCCGCCTTCAGCACGTGGCTTCTCTGTCTGGCACCCCTGCCTGGCCTGCTCTGCGCAGCCGCAGCTCCAGGCTGGGGGCCTCGCCCGCAGTGGGACAAGAGACAGAGAGAGGCGGGAGCAGTAGAGGCGGGACGGCAGTCCTCCCAGCGTGCCAGAGCGGCCGGGGAAGCTTCCCGGCGTTCCGCGGGGGCAGCCGCGCTTCCGGTCTGGAGCGGAAGCCGGGGGGCTGCTGCGGCGGGGGG